TTTCTTTTATAAAATCTCTCGTGATAACCTCTCTTTTGATTCTCTCGAAATCTCTTCTCAACAAACCCAGAAAAACTTTCTCCGCAAGTTCTTATTCCTTTTATATAAATTCCCTTTTTTTGTTTTTTCTCATTTCATTTTTTGATGCGAATCTCGTGATGGACGAATACATCGATCTTCGACTACTCACAAAATACACAGAGCACAAATCATCAGTTACAAAATACACCAAATCTTCCTCACCGGGAAAAACTCTCTCCGGCAAAACTCGTCCTGACTCAGTGAGAATCGTTCGTGTCTCTGTAACCGATCATTACGCGACAGATTCATCAAGCGACGAAGAAGAAGAAGCCCAAAACTTTCTCTTTCCTCGCCGCCGTGTCAAAAAGTTCGTTAACGAGATCAGAGTCGAACCAGGCTGCAACAACAACAACATCGCCGGAGTTTCAATGAAGGAGAAGAAACGAATCTCCTCCGACGAAACTCAATCTCCGGCGTCGAGTCGTCACCGTCCTCTCAAAGTCTCCGGTCAAAACGGGAGGAAGTTTCGCGGCGTTAGACAACGACCGTGGGGGAAATGGGCGGCTGAGATTAGAGATCCGGAGCAACGCCGGAGGATTTGGCTCGGAACTTTCGAGACGGCGGAGGAAGCCGCCGTGGTTTACGATAACGCCGCTATTAGACTCCGTGGACCGGACGCTCTCACCAATTTCTCTATACCGCCTCAGTCTCAAGAAGAAGAAGAGGAATCAGAACCGGAAAAACCGGTTATCGAGACTAAACCGGAAAGCAACATTACAACAACAACGACTTCAAGCTCTGAATCAACCGAAGACTTTCAACATCTCTCGTCTCCTACTTCTGTTCTCAATCTCCGGTCGGAAGAAACACAACAAACGTTTATTAAACCAACTAAACCGGAAATGGGAGTTTCAGATACACCGTGGTGGCATACCGGGTTTAGTGGTGGTTCGGGTGAATCGGACGATTCATTTCCGCTGGATACTCCGTTTCTCGACAACTATTTCAACGAATCACCACCGGAGTTTTCGATATTTGATCAACCAATGGGTCAAGTATTTTCAGAGAATGATGATATCTTCAATGATGTTATGTTGTTGGATGGTGAAAGTATGGAGATTGGTGATGATTTTGGTTCAAGTATCAAAGATATTGGTTCCATGTTTAGTGATTTTGATGATTCTTTGATATCAGATCTATTAGTCGTTTAAACATTCAAGAGAAAGATAAAAAATCATCAGCAAATCTATGGTGCTACTGAAAAA